CTTCAAAACTCTTTTCTTCTCGTTTGGCTTCCTGGAGACAGCGGGAGAGGCTGCGGTGGTTCGCAATGGAACGAGTTATCTTGTCTAATGGCTTTGATGAATCGTCTGTTTTCGTTGAATTCTATGAGGAAACTGCAAACGCAGGACCGTCCTGCGATGCAGCAGGTACAAAAATATGTGATTTATTTTGTAATCTTCATCCCAAGTGTTATTTCTTGGCTTCCTCTCCAGTCTCAAGGTTTCATGAGAGCACCAGCACAATGGCCTGGAGCTGATTGCGATACAGAGGGATGGCAAAGTGGTGACAGAGACAAAATATTCCATCATGAATTGCAGCAGCACTTCTCGTTGCAAGTCCGCCTACAAGACGAAACCCCCATATGCAAGCATACGATTCAACAGGCTCCTCTTTGATGGATGCACGGATTATGTGTATTTCTACTTGCGAGCAGGCTGGCAGCAGCAGCAAGAACAGTCACCACAAAGACGGAGTAGCTACGACACGGAATAGCTACAACTTACATGTGCGGAATAACGGTATTCGCGTTCGTCGCCGTTGAACATGCTTTTCCGCCTCCCCGCAAGATACATTCACGCAATATTTTTCAAAATATGCCCTTAAAAAGCGTTACAATAGAGCTTTATGAGCACAGTAGCAACATGATATGTAAGGAGGAGCTACATTAAACCGCTGCATATGCGTTTCCTTTGCATCCACGCAATTACCTGGGGGCGCTTTTGATGTTTCGAAGGATTGCTGGGCGGGGGAGAAGTGGCTTACTGGCATTTGGTCAGCTTTAGAATGCCATGTTGATTCGGCCACTACTTCTGGGAAATTGTAATAGTTTTTTTGGCATACTACGAAAGTTGCTTGCTTATTCCCCTCCAAGTTTCTCAGTCCCGACCATTGGTTCCGATAGGTCTTTCTACTGCCTGAAAAGCGNAAGGGGAGGCACTTCTGCCTTCTAGCGCCAGTTGTGGTGTCTCCATTCGCTGTCCGGCGGTCTCACCGCGGAATCGATCACGTTGCACCACTGGACTGAATGAAATATGTCCCACTACATATGAAATAATATATACTATATGAACTAGTTGGGTTGAGATAAGAGGCAAAGGGTGGAAGCGAAACGCAGAAGGACTCAGTCAATGTGGACTGGCACGGACTGCGCTTGGCGGGCCAGTGAGTGACCCCGGCCCGCTAAGGGGTTGAACTCAGTTGGCATATTCGATGGCGCGTACTGTTCCCACTTTCATAAAGCTCTACTTTTCGATAAGTATTGTTTTCTTTATCAGAACAATCTTGAACTTGCCTGGACTTGCATCCTTTCCTGTCTGTGTGGCCGCGCCAGTATCTCGGTTGTCTCTGCGAGCACCGCCGTTCTGAGGGCTCTCTCGAAACAGCAGCAATCACTGGAGTTCAATATGTGGAACAACAGAAGGAAACCGCGGTATTGTCAATCCAAATATCTTCTTTTCGCTTTAAGCCCAGACCATAGTTGCCAGACGAGCCCTCAGATGCCCGACTGGACCACGACCGAGAACGATGGCGCGCCTGTACCTGAAACCAAGGAGAAAGCGCCCGCTGCCTCTGAACGCAAAGCGTAAGTGTATCCTTACAGGCGTCGCCTTGAAATGGCTCCTATTATCCTCGGCTTTGCGTCTTATTTAGCCCGCCATCTGTGTTGATTTCATGTGCCTATGGAGTCCGCCTCTCCGGAAACCCTGTCTTGTTCGTTTGTGGCGAATAGAGCAAAAGGCATCACCGGTAGCATGGTGCAGATTGACCTGCTATTCTGATACGATAGCTCTGTTGCGTGGCATTGAACGTGAAGGACCTCCTGTTTCCTCCGGTCTGTTCAGGGTGACCAGTTTGTCCCGGCCCGCTCCACCAGCGAGTCCAGTGGTTTCAACTGGCATTGCAACAGTAGCAAGCGACTCTACGCCCCCTCCTTCCTCCGGTCTGTTCAGGCCGACCAGTCTATCCCCTTGCGCGCCACGAGCCAAGCCAGAGATTTCAACGGACACCGCAGGATTAAACGCCTCGACGCCTGCCCCTTGCCCCGCAATCTGCTCTACGCCTCCAAGACGCACCGCCTCTTTGCGCAGGCGTCACAAAAGGCCACGAATTGCTCATAATGGGAATTATCTTGCAGGCCTCAGCTGCCGTTTGAGCATGGAGGAGCGACTTAACATTTGCTTGGCAGTGGCGCAGGATTTGCTCGAGTCGGTATCCTGCAGCAGGGAACCGCGACGTCTCGTCATGTCAACCGACAGCTCCCCCCCTTCTCTGTCCCCGCTCCAGGGGAGGATTCCGGCCAACGCTTCCTGCACTCCCTCTTCCAATAAAAGGCCTCATTGTCCAACTGATCGAAGCGGTGAAGGCCCTGAACAAAAGCGCAAGCCCCTCTTTCGCCTTAAGCTTCCCGCTGGTCACCGCCTGTCTCAACCCTCGGCCCCAGCAACCATTGNAAGCCCCTCTTTCGCCTTAAGCTTCCCGCTGGTCACCGCCTGTCTCAACCCTCGGCCCCAGCAACCATTGGCACACCTCCGCCACCTTGCGAAAGCGAAGCAGCTGTCAACTTGGTTGTAGGTTCGTCACATCAGCAGCAGACACACATCGCCGAAAGCCAAACTGCAAAGGAGGAACGCACAGCTCATGAGAAACGCCACTTGTAGTCAGCAAGCATCCTTCTGCAGTCCCTTCCAGGGCAGAAGAGAGGCGGCTGTCGCCCTAGCCCTCATCCCGTTGAACCGCGAACGGTTCCGTTTCTTGACTTTGTTTGGCAAAACTCCTTCAAGTTGATAGTTCTCCAGCGACAGAAGTGTTTCATCATGTGCAGCTCAGCAATATGTCAGACAAATATGTCTAGTATACACACGCAAGTATAGATGGTGTTTCTGCCTAGGCAACTGAACTCAGTTACGATGCGTGACAACAACAACGGCAGCTGGATCTCTTTATGAACAGCCAACGCTTCACCCATGAAAGCGGACGTGCAACAGTCCCAAAGTGCTGTGCCCTCAAGGATAATGAGGACGAGACATTGGTCAACCTTGATGAATGCCATGGGAATGTTCCTGTGTTTGCCACCGACCAGATATGACGAGGCAAATATGCCTGGCGTTGCTGACTGAATTTCAAATGCTTGCTGGGCTACTGAGGTCAAAGCAGCATGTCTGGTAGAGATTCCATGAAGCTGACTTTGTCGTGCTTGCTCGGCTTGATTAGTCACAAGCAGCCGATGCACGCTGCCGTTATTGCGAAGTACACAATTCGCCTCTTGCCGGTTGTGTTGCATGCATGGACAAAACAATCGGGTAGTGTCTGCCTGGAGGCAACGGCACCCAGCTACAAAAGAATACATGAGTGAATTATCTAGTGCAAGATGCGAGGAGAGTAACGTGTGGTCGATGCAAGAGGCATACGAAGGAGTAACTTGCACATGCAAAGCTTCCACTCAGGCTTTTCAGTGCTGAAGCAGAGCGGAAAAGAAACCAAAACGAGTTGTTGCTGTGCAACACTGAGAGTTTTCAAAA